ACACCCCGGGCAGTAGCAGGAACACCCCGGGCAGTAGTAGCAGGAACACCACAGCCAGTAGCAGGAACACCCCGGGCAGTAGTAGCAGGAACACCACAGCCAGTAGCAGGAACACCACAGCCAGTAGCAGGAACACCCCGGGCAGTAGTAGCAGGAACACCACAGCCAGTAGCAGGAACACCCCGGGCAGTAGCAGAGGCTGGCTTTTGTGTGCTAAAAGTTGATCTTCAAGCTGCTACAGTGTTGACACTACACAACACCCTACACCCAACTTATTAGTTCTAGTGTACAAGGGACCTTCTAGTATACACGGAATCTTTTAGTGTACAAGAGACCTGCTGTACAAGGAAGGGTTGCAATTATACTCGAGAATCTTTAGTTCAACAAGCTGCATACATACATCCTTAATACATAGTTTAGGGAAATGAATCAAGATTCATTTCCCTAATTTACACATGACAGCCAGAAACAAGGCAAGCCGCCGTGTGTCAACTATCTATCCCATCGAGGATATGTTAAGTGTCCTGTTCCATCTCAGGATTCTCTCCCAAGACTCATCAAAGATCTCCTCCAACATGACCTGTATTCTTTCCCATCTCTTCCTTACTCATCAGGTACCCTCTCCTACCTTCCCTCACTCTCCACCCTCTCTCCCCTCACACACACTCCCCTTCATACACTAATCCCTCAGCGACCCCTCAGCCTCCCCTCAGCGACCCCTCAGCCTCCCCTCAGCGACCCCTCAGCCTGCCCTCAGCCTCCCCTCAGCGACCCCTGGTGACCTCCACATCTGTCAAACTCCAGCAAGTGATTATTAAACTCTCCCGCGGAAGTGGGGAGAAAGAAATAAAAAATATATAACCTTGATGAGAGGAGGAAACTTGGACGTCCTGACTAACCCTTTTATAAGCCAGCTCTTTCCCTTCCCTTACCCTTCCCTTACCCTTCCCTCCCCTTCCCTCCCCTTCCCTTACCCCTTCCCTCACCATTCTTCCCTCCATCATTTTCCACCTCTGCCTTACCCTCTGTGAATAAAAAAGGAAATTGAATTGTGGGAGTTTACCCTTTTACTTTTGGGTGAAGAAAACGGATGTCCCTCACGCTTGCGTAAAGAAAACGGATATCCCGCACTTTTCCGTAGAAAATGGGCTGCTCTCCTTCACAGAGAAAACGGGATTTATTTCCGCTTCAAGAAAGAAAATGGAAAATATTTCGTGTTTTTAGTCCACAAAAGTTTCTAATTGAGATTTTATGGCGTGTTAATGCGCAGACGCGAGGGGGAAGAGGAGGGAGGGAGGAGGGAGGGAGGAGGGAGGGAGGAGGGAGGGAGGAGGGAGGGAGGAGGGAGGGAGGAGGGAGGGAGGAGGGAGGAGGGAGGGAGGAGGGAGGGAGGAGGGAGGAGGGAGGAGGGAGGAGGGAGGGAGGGGAGGGAGGAGGGAGGGGGGAGGGAGGGGGGTAGGGGTCCTGAGAGGTGAGGGGGGGGGGCAAGACGCAGACAAACGAAGATTTAATGGCCAATGAAACATTTTGATAACAGTCCTCGGTCCTGCCTGTGTGGAGCCGGGCCCACACGAGGTCATGTGGGGGGGAAGAGGTCATGATGAAGATGTGAATGTACACAAAGGGGGAAGAAAAGAAAAGGAGGAGATGAGGGAAGAATAACATTATTATTATTAACATCTTTATTGACAAAATTAATTACAATTTTGCCTAATCTGAGGATTTTGATAGTCTTATTAAATTGAGGTTAATGCTAGTATTCACTGTCACGCAGGACAGAGGGTCATACATAAGACAATAGGCCTAAACTGTAGGCTGAAGCACATATATATCACGGTTACAATCAATGTTTTAATGTGTGGATATGTGAAAACAACTTTCTATTGTGCACTGCCACACAAGTGCAGGGATGGGTTCATAAGTGATACAGCTTAGAATATAAGTAGAAATTGTTCTTCATTCTTTAAAATGGACAAGCAAATTTTGGGTAAATTGTTAGGATGTCGTCCAGAACACCTGAGTCAATAAAATAGTTACACAGTTGGTGGTACAATAGGCCAGGAGGTCTAAAGTCCTTTACGGTTTCACATTCATCAATATAGTGTTCTAGTGAATGCATTAAAGGTTTATCACAGAGTTTACAATCTGAATATTCTGGTAGTGGCTCAGCCTCACTAACCTGCCAGATGTGTCTATAGCCAAGGCGAATTCGCGCGATTACTACATCACATTGCCTGGTCCGGTTACTGTGCTGACCATACAAATACCTATTATTACAGAACTTGTCATAACTTTTAATACTGCAGCTTTCAGGTCTCTGTGCATTTCTTAGTTCTTCTAAATCTGAATTAATTTCTTTAATTTGTATGTTTCTAATAACTGCATTAGATAGTCCAAAATCATAATCAATGTTTTCTTTCCTGCAAGCCTCATTGGCCAATTGATCTACAAAGTCATGTTTTTCAACTCCAACATGGGATGGGATCCACACAAATTTTATACAAGAATTATTATCATTGGCAAAAATTACATTCCATTTAATATTACAAGCTACTTCCGACATACATTGTGATGGGTTATTTAAGGACTGCAGAGCACTTTAGAGTCACAGAAAATAACTCCACCACCATTGAGCTTAAGGTATTCAGTGGCTAGATAAATACCCAATAGCTCGGTCTGTGTCGTGCTTGCCCAGTTGTTCAATCTCTGTGTACTAGTCATGATCATTTCATTCCCTTTATACACTGCACATGCACAACCTGTTCTACCAGTGCCTAACTGCACAGAGCCATCAGTAAAGGCATAGGATTCAGTCGGTTTGAGAATTTGAAGATGACTGTCAATAGCTTCTAATGTTATACATCTCAAAATGTCAGTGTTATACATTTGTTTTACACTGATGGGAGTATAATGCAGAGAGACCTCCACATCTTTCCAAGGGGGAATATAGTGAACAGTTTTATCAGGGTTAAGAGATACATTCAGTTTCTGAAGATTATAGACACAACAACTGAGCCACACACTGTAGGGAGCTTTTTGCGGCGGATTGAGGGAACAGTCAGAATTGTTTAGAATAACAGGAGGAATTGTGGGTATATATGAGACAAAAGGGAAGATAATGCTATATGGTTGCCACGGTCGGGGACAGGAAGCCTGCTAGGTGTAGCGTGCCCTCAAGGTCACACCTACTGTAACAACACTATATTAAATTATATAAGACATCTCAAGTCACTAAAATCAACTACATACGAAAACGCGACCCGTCTCCCCCCCCCCCTTTTTTTAATGTTTTTTTCTTTCTACTCCTTACGCCTGTTTCCCCCCGGCGCGAATTTTGGCGCGAGGACAGAAGAGTGTTGTGACGCGTAACGACGCGTGGCGGGAACCTCTGGCAGCGTCTGGTGGATATGTCCCTCTTCCTGTAGTGTCTGCTGGATATATCCATGTCCTGTATATATTTTTTGAAGGATATATATATATCTCCTTAGCGTCTGATGGATATATCCGCCTTTCTCACCTCGCGACGCCCCTAGGGACGACCTCACAGGGACGCCCCTAGGGACGACCTCATAGGGACGACCTCATAGGAACGCCCACAGGGACGCCCTCACAGGGACGCCCCTCACAGGGAAACCCCAAATACCGAGGGAACAGTTCACTTGGCTTCAGATAATTGTCAACAGTGTGTCAGCCAACTTGCATGTGTAATGTTTGGGTATAAACAGGACTATTTGTATAACAGGATTGTGAGGAGGGAGAGAGCGCCTCGCATGGGTCTGAGAACCTTCTGTAATATGCTTTATTATTATCTTGTTTTGATAATCTGTCTCTTTCGCATTGTATATTTATTAGTGAGAGAGGTGCAAGAAATATGCAGGTAATTTCCCCATAGTTACCCCAATATACACCCCGGGAGCTCCTAGATGATCTCTCAAAGACTTCCTTGAAAGACTTCCTTCCTTTTTGCATGAAACGCAAAGTGGCGTATTAGTGGCATTAGGCTGAGCATATAGGCACTCTAACACACACACATCGCATTAACCTCATCTATATCAATGAGAAAATCCACTGGGTCGCGTACTTTTACACGTTGACGGTGGTCAGGTAGTAGAGTACGCGGCTGGCAATGCTGGGGTCGAGGGTTCGAGCCCCACCTCACTGCCCCAGTGGATTTTCTCATATACTAACTCTATCTAGAAGTCCAACATTGTGCTTGTAACTCATTGTGTACGACTGTACTTTTACCTAAATAAAAAATATTATTATTGATATTATTATTACTTTTAATTATATAAAGAAGAACCTCGAAAAAGGTTCATTTTATATTCTAGATCTTAACGAACTCTGGTCTCTCGCTCCTGGAAATTGGTTATGTTTTGGTTTCTTGATTTGTTTGTATAATACTAAATCATCCACAGTTCTTCATGAACGGTAACAAATTGATACGAAGAAATGCATTATAAAGTGAGACTTGTATACTAGACGAAATAATGAAATACTTGAGTATATTTTATATAAAAAAAAACATGAAAACGAGTGAGCAAATTTAGTAAATAGGCGGGAATATGTCTAAACCAGAGAGACAAGTGAGAAAGGAAGAACGCCAAGCGTGGAAGCATGGAGGAACAGACACGGAGGACTGAGGAGTATGAAAGGCCGCCCCAGCAGTAACTCAGGAGCAACAGCCGGGCACAAAAGCAGTGTGGACCATAAGATGGGGGCGAGGCACCCTACAAAAAACACAGATGACCCGTCTCACACTCGATATTGAGGCCATAAACCGTTTAATATTCTCCAGTCCGCGCCCCATTATCTCTTGACCACCCTGGTGGCAGCCCCGCGCACTGCACCTCCCTCCCACGCCTTTATGACACATTCTTAGAATATGTATATGTCTATGTATGCCTACATGTGTGTGTGTGTGTGTGTGTGTGTGTGTGTGTGTGTGTGTGTGTGTGTGTAGGTACACGTGTAGTCCCACACCTGCTGTCTTCCCTTCATCATGGGGAATATTGGGATTCCCTCTGGGTGAAGCCCCCTGTTTTGGGTCTGAAGAAAGCGAGATTCTTTGTTGGGCATTTGTCTGCTGGGCACTTGTCTGCTGGGGCACGTGTCTGCTGGGGCACGTGTCTGCTGGGGCACGTGTCTGCTGGGGCACGTGTCTGCTGGGGCACGTGTCTGCTGGGGCACGTGTCTGCTGGGGCACGTGTCTGCTGGGGCACGTGTCTGCTGGGGCACGTGTCTGCTGGGGCACGTGTCTGCTGGGGCACGTGTCTGCTGGGGCACGTGTCTGCTGGGGCACGTGTCTGCTGGGGCACGTGTCTGCTGGGGCACGTGTCTGCTGGGGCACGTGTCTGCTGGGGCACGTGTCTGCTGGGGCACTTGTCTGCTGGGGCACTTGTCTGCTGGGGCACTTGTCTGCTGGGGCACTTGTCTGCTGGGGCACTTGTCTGCTGGGCACTGGCAGCAGAGGGCCCACAGCGAGGCTCCTGATGGTGGTGGGGGCGAGGGCTCCCTAGAACACCGGGGGTCAATGTCAGGTTTATCGTTCTTACACTTCAGGTGTTCCCTTCTAATGCGTTTTGTTCCATTATTGTACCATATTATTTGTAACTCGGTTCAGCCCTCCCCCGTTACACTGCCAATGGATGGCATAGCAACCGTGTTCGAGGATAGCCACCGTGTTCGAGGATAGCCGCCGTGTTCGAGGATAGCCACCGTGACTATCCACACAACATGACTGAGTACTCCCCTATGGACCGTCCAGCGCCTGAGAGAGGAAGCCTCACTCACTCACACGGAGGAAAGAGGATTTGCAGACAGGTGCAGCACTTGTGGTTCATAGATAACAGGTGGACAGCCCGCCTGCTATCATAACATTGTGGACAGCCCACCTGCTATCATAACATCGTGCCGGCAAGGTGGACAGCCCGCCTGCTATCATAACATCGTGCCAGCAAGGTGGACAGTCCGCCTGCTATCATAATCCACAATATATTCCCCTTTTTCCTCCACCTGCGCCTCTCCATCTTTACTGCCACCAAAAAAAAAAAAAAGGTTGTAGTGTGTCAGTTGAGTTTGTGTAGAGTGGAGGTCTTGTTTACCCCTAACACTGATAGTCTGTAATGAGGTGTGACCCCACACACCGCCCACCCGGCCAAGATGACCCCAGTTAGATGACCCCCAGTCAGGTGACCCCAGTCGCGTGACAGTGTTTGTTTATCAAGTAAAATGTTTAATTAAGTGTTTCTACAGGGAGGAGGGGGGAGGGGGGTTATAAGAGATAGGAAAGTGAGGGGAGAGATAAGAGGTGAACCCCTTGGAGAGGTGACGGGTCAAGGCTGTCTCATTCTGTCACCCCTGAGAGCTCTCTACCTCTTAAGACAGCTGCCTCGTGTGTACACACTGTAACCACCACGACCATCTTACACATGTTGACCTCTAATTGGCCATTACGTGTCCGTGTGTAGTTGACAGAGTTACAACGAGCAGCACTAAGACAGGAAGGAGGCTGGCTTGACCAAGCCACAGTCTTGGTGGTGATGGTGGTGGTCACTAAATCCTGTGGAGCCCTCCTATAGTGACCTCTGAAGCATGATACAACAGACCAGTGAGCCAAAGCTGGCACTCTTAAAGAGGCAGTTGACTAGCATCTTAGATTACCCTGAGGAGCCCGAGCGAAGTATACATACCGACATATACCGACAACTGCAGCAGACCTCAGATAACAGTGTCATTCATGCTTAGGTATTCCACCACCATCATCCACAGGATGGCCATGGTGTCCACTACCATCCACAGGATGGCCATGGTGTCCACTACCATCCACAGGATGGCCATGGTGTCCACTACCACCCACAGGATGGCCACGGTGTCCACTACCACCCACAGGATGGCCACGGTGTCCACTACCACCCACAGGATGGCCACGGTGTCCACTACCACCCACAGGATGGCCACGGTGTCCACTACCACCCACAGGATGGCCACGGTGTCCACTACCACCCACAGGATGGCCACGGTGTCCACTACCACCCACAGGATGGCCATGGGGTCCACTACCACCCACAGGATGGCCATGGGGTCCACTACCACCCACAGGATGGCCATGGTGTCCACTACCACCCACAGGATGGCCATGGGGTCCACTACCACCCACAGGATGGCCATAGTGTCCACTACCACCCACAGGATGGCCATGGGGTCCACTACCACCCACAGGATGGCCATGGGGTCCACTACCACCCACAGGATGGCCATGGGGTCCACTACCACCCACAGGATGGCCATGGGGTCCACTACCACCCACAGGATGGCCATGGGGTCCACTACCACCCACAGGATGGCCATGGGGTCCACTACCACCCACAGGATGGCCATGGGGTCCACTACCACCCACAGGATGGCCATGGGGTCCACTACCACCCACAGGATGGCCATGGGGTCCACTACCACCCACAGGATGGCCATGGGGTCCACTACCACCCACAGGATGGCCATGGGGTCCACTACCACCCACAGGATGGCCATGGGGTCCACTACCACCCACAGGATGGCCATGGGGTCCACTACCACCCACAGGATGGCCATGGGGTCCACTACCACCCACAGGATGGCCATGGGGTCCACTACCACCCACAGGATGGCCATGGGGTCCACTACCACCCACAGGATGGCCATGGGGTCCACTACCACCCACAGGATGGCCATGGGGTCCACTACCACCCACAGGATGGCCATGGGGTCCACTACCACCCACAGGATGGCCATGGGGTCCACTACCACCCACAGGATGGCCATGGGGTCCACTACCAACCACAGGATGGCCATGGGGTCCACTACCAACCACAGGATGGCCATGGGGTCCACTACCACCCACAGGATGGCCATGGGGTCCACTACCACCCACAGGATGGCCATGGGGTCCACTACCAACCACAGGATGGCCATGGGGTCCACTACCAACCACAGGATGGCCATGGGGTCCACTACCAACCACAGGATGGCCATGGGGTCCACTACCAACCACAGGATGGCCATGGGGTCCACTACCAACCACAGGATGGCCATGGGGTCCACTACCAACCACAGGATGGCCATGGGGTCCACTACCAACCACAGGATGGCCATGGGGTCCACTACCAACCACAGGATGGCCATGGGGTCCACTACCAACCACAGGATGGCCATGGGGTCCACTACCAACCACAGGATGGCCATGGGGTCCACTACCAACCACAGGATGGCCATGGGGTTCACTACCACCCACAGGGTGGCCATGGGGTCCACTACCACCCACAGGATGGCCATGGGGTCCACTACCACCCACAGGATGGCCATGGGGTCCACTACCACCCACAGGATGGCCATGGGGTCCACTACCACCCACAGGATGGCCATGGGGTCCACTACCACCCACAGGATGGGCACTGGCAGCCAGCAACTGTCCGTTCGACGAGGATAATTAATTATATTAGCTATATACATTTCAAGTTGCTGCTGCCCCGGCAGAATGTTGTAGTGGGCCATATCTGGCTCACTACGACATTTTGTAGCCTCTTTAAATTGCAAGATAGTAGGACCAGAGGACATAAACAGAAGCTGGAACCGTGAACGAGTGTAGGAAATGTAAGGAAATACTGGTAACCTGTAGGGAGGCGATAGGCAACCACTACTCCTTCACTACCTCCACATACCACCACAACTACCACAACTACCACCACACACCACCACAACTACCACAACTACCACCACACACCACAACTACCACAACTACCACCACAACTACCACAACTACCACCACCAGAGCCAGGACCAGCCCCCGAGCCAGGATTTACAGCACCAACGGCTTAAATTATCGACATTAATGTGTGTTTGGAATGAGCGGAAATATATTGGAAATATATTTTGGTTTAACTTTTATTAGTGCCTTCTTAAATATCTGAAATATGTTCATCCCGTCTGTCTGTCTCTGAGTACATGTCTGTCCCTATCTGTCCCTGTCTCTTTGGTTTACACAAGTGAGTACAGAGAGACAGACAGACTACACCCGACTCCTAACTCAACCCCCCCACCCTCTCTCTCTCTCTCTCTCTCTATATATATATATATATATATATATATATATATATATATATATATATATATATATAATGTCGTACCTAGTAGCCAGAACGCACTTCTCAGCCTACTATGCAACGCCCGATTTGCCTAATAAGCCAAGTTTTCATGAATTAATTGTTTTTCGACTACCTAACCTACCTAACCTAACCTAACATTTTCGGCTACCTAACCTAACCTAATCTATAAAGATAGGTTAGGTAGGGTTGGTTAGATTCAGTCATATATCTACGTAAATTTTAACTCCAATAAAAAAAATTGACCTCATACATAATGAAATGGGTAGCTTTATCATTTCATAAGAAAATAATTTGAGAAAATATAATTATTCATGAAAACTTGGCTTATTAGGCAAATCGAGCCTTGCATAGTAGGCTGAGAAGTGCGTTCTGGCTACTATGTACGACATATATATATATATATATATATATATATATATATATATATATATATATATATATATATATATATAAATATATATATATATATATATATATATATATATATATATATATATATATATATATATAATGACTTTTTCCCAGGATCCAACCCCATTGCAGTTGACTAACTCCCATGTACCTATTTAATGCTAGGTGAACAGAGGTATTAAGTGAAAGAAAACGTGCCCAACCACGTCCGTTACAACGGGGATTCCCCAAGTGCGAGTCGAGAAACTGTTCTTAAAATGTTCCCCCACTTCGCACATGCAAGATGACATTAACTTGAGGATTGTAAGATGTTACACTGTTCTCCTGGGACTGTTAAGTTCCAGCTGTGTCTGGGTACAAGTGACAGGATGAACAACCCAGCGGGTTTTCTTCCTATTGGGGAGTGTTGTACATGCTGCTATGGCGGTGTGTCCACTCACAGGATGAGTGGCGCTGCCCAATACTGTCACTATGGCGGTGTGTCCACTCACAGGATGAGTGACGCTGCCCAATACTGTCACTATGGCGGTGTGTCCACTCACAAGATGAGTGACGCTGCCCAATACTGTCACTATGGCGGTGTGTCCACTCACAGGATGAGTGGCGCTGCCCAATACTGTCACTATGGCGGTGTGTCCACTCACAGGATGAGTGGCGCTGCCCAATACTGTCACTATGGCGGTGTGTCCACTCACAGGATGAGTGGCGCTGCCCAATACTGTCACTATGGCGGTGTGTCCACTCACAGGATGAGTGGCGCTGCCCAATACTGTCACTATGGCGGTGTGTTCACTCACAGGATGAGTGACGCTGCCCAATACTGTCACTATGGCGGTGTGTCCACTCACAGGATGAGTGGCGCTGCCCAATACTGTCACTATGGCGGTGTGTCCACTCACAGGATGAGTGGCGCTGCCCAATACTGTCACTATGGCGGTGTGTCCACTCACAGGATGAGTGGCGCTGCCCAATACTGTCACTATGGCGGTGTGTCCACTCACAGGATGAGTGACACTGCCCAATACTGTCACTATGGCGGTGTGTCCACTCACAGGATGAGTGGCGCTGCCCAATACTGTCACTATGGCGGTGTGTCCACTCACAGGATGAGTGGCGCTGCCCAATACTGTCACTATGGCGGTGTGTCCACTCACAGGATGAGTGACGCTGCCCAATACTGTCACTATGGCGGTGTGTCCACTCACAGGATGAGTGGCGCTGCCCAATACTGTCACTATGGCGGTGTGTCCACTCACAGGATGAGTGGCGCTGCCCAATACTGTCACTATGGCGGTGTGTCCACTCACAGGATGAGTGACACTAACAAACTCGCCCCACGGAGAAAATTAAAATAATATATATTCCATATACATTTATTAAAATAATTATCATAAACCTTCAGAGGTGAAGCAAGTGTTACCAACTATAACTAAACCCGCGTCATGGCCGAGGTTGGCAACACTTACATCACAGCCAGACGTGGAGGCAAATCACAGAATCTTGCGCGAGGAGCAATATTGGTGGCTCTAAATGTGAGAGTGGCTAAAAGAGGGGAGTGAGGGGGCTGGGAGAGGGGAGTGAGGGGGCTGGGAGAGGGGTGAGGGGGCTGGGAGAGGGGAGTGAGGGGGCTGAGAGAGGGGAGTGAGGGGGCTGGGAGAGGGGAGTGAGGGGGCTGGGAGAGGGGTGAGGGGGCTGGGAGAGGGGAGTGAGGGGGCTGAGAGAGGGGAGTGAGGGGGCTGGGAGAGGGGAGTGACGGGGCTGAGAGAGGGGAGTGAGGGGGCTGGGAGAGGGGAGTGAGGGGGCTGAGAGAGGGGAGTGAGGGGGCTGGGAGAGGGGAGTGAGGGGGCTGAGAGAGGGGAGAGAGGGGGCGGAGGGCTGAAAGAGAGGGGTGAGGGGGGCTGTGTGGGGGGTGAGGGGGGCTGTGTGGGGGGGTGAGGGGGGCTGTGTGGGGGGGGGTGAGAGGGGCTGAGAAAGGGTTGGAGAGGTCGTAAGTGAGTGGGAGAGACCCCAGGGTAAGACCCCAGGGTGAGACCCTAGGGTGAGACCCCAGGGTGAGACCCCCAGGAAGAGACCCCAGGGTGAGACCCCAGGGTGAGACCCCAGGGGGAGACCCCAGGGTGAGACCCCAGGGTGAGAGGGGTCTGAAAATGTAAACAGAAGTGCCCAAACAGTTCCGGCAAGAACAGTAGACTGCTCGAACCGTTGACCCATCACACAGCTGCCTGCCCTCCAGGCTGATGGACCTCGGTCGGGCTGTAGCTCCCCGTCACCAGCAATATACAAGTCTTAGAGGGAACCCAATGAGTGTTCTGGACATCCTACACGACACTCACAGGCTGGTAATATGTGTGTGTGTGAGTGTGTGAGTGTGAGAGTGTGAGAGTGTGAGAGTGTGTGAGAGAGAGAGAGAGAGAGAGAGAGAGAGAGAGAGAGAGAGAGAGAGAGAGAGAGAGAGAGAGAGAGAGAGAGAGAGACTAAGACCTCAGCCTGTAGTGCTGATCACACAATATTCTCACAGGCAGTTATAGGAAGTTGTTTCTTTAGCTGTTATTCCTGGCCATATTGGTACCCCTGGCCATATTGGTACCCCTGGCCATAGTGGTACCCCTGGCCATATTGGTACCCCTGGCCATATTGGTACCCCTGGCCATAGTGGTACCCCTGGCCACATTGGTACCCCTGGCCATAGTGGTACCCCTGGCCATATTGGTACCCCTGGCCATATTGGTACCCCTGGCCATAGTGGTACCCTGGCCACATTGGTACCCTGGCCATATTGGTACCCCTGGCCATATTGGTACCCCTGGCCATATTGGTACTGCTGGCCATATTGGTACCCTGGCCATATTGGTACCCTGGCCATATTGGTACTGCTGGCCATATTGGTACCCCTGGCCATATTGGTACCCCTGGCCATATTGGTACTGCTGGCCATATTGGTACCCCTGGCCATATTGGTACCCCTGGCCATATTGGTACCCCTGGCCATATTGGTACCCCTGGCCATAGTGGTACCCCTGGCCATATTGGTACCCCTGGCCATATTGGTACCCCTGGCCATAGTGGTACCCCTGGCCACATTGGTACCCCTGGCCATATTGGTACCCCTGGCCACATTGGTACCCCTGGCCATAGTGGTACCCCTGGCCATAGTGGTACCCCTGGCCATATTGGTACCCCTGGCCATATTGGTACCCCTGGCCACATTGGTACCCCTGGCCATATTGGTACCCCTGGCCACATTGGTACCCCTGGCCATATTGGTACCCCTGGCCATAGTGGTACCCCTGGCCATATTGGTACCCCTGGCCATATTGGTACCCCTGGCCATATTGGTACCCCTGGCCATATTGGTACCCCTGGCCATATTGGTACTGCTGGCCATATTGGTACCCCTGGCCATATTGGTACCCCTGGCCATATTGGTACCCCTGGCCATATTGGTACCCTGGCCATAGTGGTACCCCTGGCCATATTGGTACCCTGGCCATATTGGTACCCCTGGCCATATTGGTACTGCTGGCCATATTGGTACCCATGGCCATATTGGTACCCCTGGCCATATTGGTACCCCTGGCCATATTGGTACCCCTGGCCATATTGGTACCCCTGGCCATATTGGTACCCATGGCCATATTGGTACCCATGGCCATATTGGTACTGCTGGTCATATTGGTACCCCTGGCCATAGTGGTACCCCTGGCCATAGTGGTACCCCTGGCCATATTGGTACCCATGGCCATATTGGTACTGCTGGTCATATTGGTACCGCTGGCCATAGTGGTACCCCTGGCCATATTGGTACCGCTGGCCATAGTGGTACCCCTGGCCATAGTGGTACCCCTGGCCATATTGGTACCGCTGGCCATATTGGTACTGCTGGTCATATTGGTACTGCTGGCCATATTGGTACTGCTGGCCATATTGGTACTGCTGGTCATATTGGTACTGCTGGTCATATTGGTACTGCTGGCCATATTGGTACTGCTGGCCATAGTGGTACTGCTGGCCATAGTGGTACCGCTGGCCATAGTGGTACCCCTGGCCATATTGGTACCGCTGGCCATATTGGTACTGCTGGCCATATTGGTACTGCTGGTCATATTGGTACTGCTGGCCATATTGGTACTGCTGGCCATATTGGTACTGCTGGCCATAGTGGTACCGCTGGCCATAGTGGTACCCCTGGCCATAGTGGTACCGCTGGCCATAGTGGTACTGCTGGTCATATTGGTACTGCTGGCCATATTGGTACCGCTGGCCATATTGGTACCCCTGGCCATAGTGGTACCCCTGGTGTCACACCCGTGTCGTTTGGCTTCCGTGTCCTGGGGGTCAGAGGTCACGACCTGCTGACTCTCGCGCCCCCACACTGCCTTGTGGCACCTTCACTCATGGTCGTCTCCACTCATGGTCGTCTCCACTCATGGTCGTCGTCACTCATGGTCGTCTCCACTCATGGTCGTCTCCACTCATGGTCGTCTCCACTCATGGTCGTCTCCACTCATGGTCGTCGTCACTCATGGTCGTCTCCACTCATGGTCGTCTCCACTCATGGTCGTCTCCACTCATGGTCGTCTCCACTCATGGTCGTCTCCACTCATGGTCGTCTCCACTCATGGTCGTCTCCACTCATGGTCGTCTCCACTCATGGTCGTCTCCACTCATGGTCGTCTCCACTCATGGTCCCCCACCTGTTACCCCCCCCTCCCCAAATGCTGGTCACCGTGGACGTGGTCGTGTTCGGTAATTAACTGTTTCGATAACCTGAGGCTTGGGTGACCGCCTCCATGGTCACAACTCTCACTGGAGGCCGCTCCCTGCCTCCACACGCACGCCACACGCACCTCACACGCACGCCAGCCACACGCACGCACGCCACCCACACGCACACGCACACCACACCACACGCACAGGACGCTAGACATGACTGTTCCCCGCTGCTGCCTGGTCTGAGACCCGTTAACAGCCTTAGAACTTTGCCTCCCAGAACTTAAGTCTTGTTCTATCTGTTGTTGTACTGTTCATTGGTCAACAGCGTCGCCATCTATTGTGTCCGGCAGAGACCACTGGGCCCTCACTCTCCCGTGGACCAGCTAGATATAAAAGTTCTCTTCTAAAATGTTTTCTGGTGAAAACTAACCGACAGTTTTACGCTGACTGGAGCAAACTGAAGGGACAAGGCTCAGCGGCTATGAAAACACGCGAGACAAACATGACCGGCACCACGAGTGAGTCACCTCCTGGACAGTGAGTGAAGGAAGTATCTGCCACTCACCCACACTCTGTCACTCACTCACACTCGTTCAGTAACAACCAGAGAAGACGTCAGTCCTCTCTCTCTCTCTCTCTCTCTCTCTCTCTCTCTCTCACTCACACACACACACTAAGAGGATAACATCAGCGACATATGCCAGGCTGGCCAACATACGAACGGCATTCAGAAACTTGTATAAAGAATCATTCAGAACTTTGTATACCACATATGTCAGGCCAATCCTGGAGTATGCAGCCCCAGCATGGAGTCCATATCTAGTCAAGGATAAGACCAAACTGGAAAAGGTTCAAAGGTTTGCCACCAGACTAGTACCCGAGCTGAGAGGTATGAGCTACGAGGAAAGACTACGGGAAGTAAACCTCACTTAGCTGGAAGACAGAAGAGTTAGTGGGTGACATGATCACCACATTCAAGATTCTCAAGGGAATTGATAGGGTAGATAAAGACAGGCTATTTAACACAAGGGGCACACGCACTAGGGGACACAGGTGGAAATTGAGTGCCCAAATGAGCCATAGAGACGTTAGAAAGAATTTTTTTAGTGTCAGAGTGGTTGACAAATGGAATGCATTAGGAAGTGATGTGGTGGAGGCTGACTCCATACACAGTTTCAAGTGTAGATATGATAAGAACCAAATAGGCTCAGTAATCTGTACACCAGTTGATTGACGGTTGAGAGGCGGGACCAAAGAGCCAGAGCTCAACCCCGCAAGCACACCTAGGCGAGTCCTCTGGTGCCAGGGGTCACACCAGGGTCACCGGCAGCGTGGCTTACGACCGTCTTGACTAATTGGGGTCAGGCGGGCAACCAGGCGCTCATTTACATCTTAATATTTACGAGGCTCAGGGTCTCGCCCAGATTTGTTCAGGATTAATCCACGATCACCTATGGTGTAGCTGGGGAGGCGCCGTGGACGGCTGCCTTACCCTCGAGGGCTTCCTTACACTTGCAAACACGCACTTGAGCGTGTCTGCTGAGAATGGCCACTTACGCCCTCTAGTGGCCATTGGTGGCCACTGGTCAAACACCCTCCCCCCCCCCTTATTCCTCTTATCCAGCCTCACCAACCCAATCCCCCAACCCCTCCATCCACTTCCCAATCCTCAACCCAATCCTCAACCATCCATAAGTATCAACAACGAGAAGCTAGTTACACAATAGTTACACAACTGTTAATGTTACACACACACACACATATACACACTTTATATATGTATTATATCATTTACACAAATACATATACACATCACATCTCTTGTTGAATCTCTGGTGATACAAAGAGCAGAGCCTAAGGAAGAGAACAAATCCACAAGGGCCGTGACGAGGATTCGAACCTGCGTCCGGGAGCATCCCAGACACTGCCTTAATCGACTGAGCTGACACAATAAGAGGGTTCGAACCAGGACCCAGCGCCTGATACCACGTCTTGCAACACTGACACACCGGACCATCACACACCTGCAGGAAAACCCTCATACAACCACCACCACCAGCGGTGCGACGTGTTGTAGTGAGACACCACACACTCGGGAGCTCCCAACACTCAACACCAATTTAGTCTGGGTTCGAGTTCTCGTCAGAACAGATCGTCTTGGCGACAATCCTGAACTGTTTGTCTCTGTTCTCCCAATACCAATTGCTTACCTGCTTGTTAATGGGTTGTTAACGGTTATTTTATCAACATATATATTATATATATTATATATATATATATATAATATATATATATATATATATATATATATATATATATATATATATATATATATATATATATATATATATATATATATATATATATATATATATATATATATATATATATATATATATATATGACTGAAAACTCACACCCCAAAAGTGACTCGAACCCATACTGCCAGGAGCAACGCAACTGGTATCTACAGGACGCCTTAATCAGCTTGACCATCACGACCGGACATAAGGAAGTGATAGCCGGTCGTGATGGTAAAGCGGATTAAGGCGTCCTGTAGATACCAGTTGCGTTGCTCCTGGCAGTATGGGTTCGAGTCACTTTTGGGGTGTGAGTTTTCAGTCATATATATATATATATATATATATATATATATATATATATATATATATATATATATATATATATATATATATATATATATATATATATATATATATATATATATATATATATAATTTTCTTTTACAATGGAAGGGAGTACCACCTCTGGCTGGAAGAAGGAAGAAGGGGGACCCTTAGCCTCGGAGGAAACCACACATAACGCATTAGAGGGAATGTTTAGGTCCCCTCCAATACTGTTTCTGTGTGCTTTTCTCCTACCACCCCCTTACAATGTATATAATTTATATATATTTATAATAAATTATATATTAAATTTTGTCCTCCACCCTCTTCCCCCTCTTTCCTCTACCTGCTTCCCTGCTCCTCTCCCCCATCTCCCCCCCCTCTCCTCCACTATCACACCTTCACGGAACATCTCAGACGTTCAAAAAACACCTGAAGCATTAATGGAACACCAAATACGTTCATGGGGCCACCTCAGATGTTTAGGGGCCACCTCAGATGTTTAGGGGTCACCCCAGATGTTTAGGGACCACCCCAGATGTTTAGGGACCACCCCAGATGTTTAGGGGTCACCCCAGATGTTTAGGGGTCACCCCAGATGTTTTAGGGACCACCCCAAACATTCAAGGGGTCGAGCCTAGGCCGTGTGGGAACCCCGTAAGTGTTGGTGGTCTTCCTGAGAGCCTGGTGACATTTGGTGAGGGTCGTGGTGAGACCAACAGCTGAGGTAATCTGTCGTACACGTGGGAGGCGGTGACCAGGCTGGCCACTAGGGGGTGGAGGGTCGTGTTAACGGGTGCAGGGGGGGGGGGGTGTTCAGGGGGTGTTCAGGGGGTGGAGGCACCATTAAGGCAGTTCAGATAGGGTGGGGTGGAGATTTGAACAGTGGGTGGGATGGGGAGGGTGTCATGAGGGAGGTGGGGAGGGGGGTGATGGAAAATGGGAGTGGTGAAGACAAAAAGAAGGGAGAGAGAGAGAGGGGATGAAGGGTGAGAGGGGAGAGAGAGTGAGGGGAGAGGGGAGAAGGGGCACAGTGGGTGACCACAGCCGGTCACAGGTCTTGTAAACAAAGTGAAGGTGAGAGATATGCCTCTAAAGTGAAGGTACCCGGGACACTGGTGCCTTAACCTGGGCACTGGTGCCTTACCCGGGGCACTGGTGCCTTACCCGGGGCACTGGTGCCTTACCTGGGGCACTGGTGCCTTACCCGGGGCACTGGTGCCTTACCCGGGGCACTGGTGCCTTACCCGGGGCACTGGTGCCTTACCCGGGGCACTGGTGCCTGACCCGGGGCACTGGTGCCTGACCCGGGGCACTGGTGACTGACCCGGGGCACTGGTGACTGACCCGGGGCACTGGTGACTGACCCGGGGCACTGGTGACTGACCCGGGGCACTGGTGACTGACCGGGGCACTGGTGACTGACCCGGGGCACTGGTGACTGACCCGGGGCACTGGTGACTGACCCGGGGCACTGGTGACTGACCCGGGGCACTGGTGACTGACCCGGGGCACTGGTGACTGACCCGGGGCACTGGTGCCTGACCCGGGGCACTGGTGACTGACCCGGGGCACTGGTGACTTACCCGGGGCACTGGTGACTTACCCGGGGCACTGGTGACTTACCCGGGGCACTGGTGACTTACTCGGGGCACTGGTGCCTGACCCGGGGCACTGGAGTTGCCGGGTGTCACCGGCAGTGCCCTAACAACAATTCATGAGCCAAGATGGCGATTTATTATTTTCTGCACAAAGATCTGATTTAACGGAGTTGTTTCGTATTGACAGTTGGATCATTAAGGCATCACATGAAACAGATCCTACAGGATGAACAACCCAGCGGGTTTTCTTCCCTTTGGGAGTGTTGTACATGCTGCTATGGTGGTGTGGTCACTCACAGGATGAGTGGCGCTGCCCAATACTGTCACTATGGCGGTGTGTCCACTCACAGGATGAGTGGCGCTGCCCAATACTGTCACTATGGCGGTGTGTCCACTCACAGGATGAGTGGCGCTGCCCAATACTGTCACTATGGCGGTGTGTCCACTCACAGGATGAGTGGCGCTGCCCAATACTGTCACTATGGCGGTGTGTCCACTCACAGGATGAGTGGCGCTGCCCAATACTGTCACTATGGCGGTGTGTCCACTCACAGGATGAGTGGCGCTGCCCAATACTGTCACTATGAGAGGTGCTGATGAAGGTAAAGTTGTAGAAATGGAGAACAAATAGAAAAATACAAATCTGAGTGCGTACATGTGTATGCTACTTCACCTATATACGACCATGTGTGTGTTGACATACACGTCAAGAACAATACCATCACCTCCAACTTCCTGATTAGAGAGTGATGTGTGTGTGTGTGTTTGAGCTTAGCTACTATAACATCGTGCCAGCAAGGCGGACAGTCCGCCTGCTATCATAACACCGTGTCAGTAAGGCGGACAATCCGCCTGCTATCATAACTTTTAATATTTCCCTTTTCTAATCTGTTCTTCAACTGTTCCTCTCCATGTTCTTTATTTCTCTCTCACTCGCCCTCTAAAATGTGAGGGAGGGAGGGGGAGGGGAACACCCCCTCCCCCCTTCACCAGAGTAACACCGTTAAAATACTGATATCCAATAAACGTAAGTCAATTTCTCAAAGACTTCGAGCGCTTGTGGGGAGCTGTGAGTCTGGGAGGGGGGGGGGAGGGGGGATATTTTTGGGAGGGGTGGGGGAGGAGACTGAGGAGAGTTCTGGGGGTGTAGGTGTACTTTCCTAATTGTTTCCCCAGTTGTGCTTGCGGGGGTTGAGCTCTGGCTCTTTGGTCCCGTTTCTCAACCGTCAATCAACTGGTGTACAGGTTCCTGAGTCTACTGGGCTCTATCATGTCTACACTTGAAACTGTGTATGGAGTCAGCCTCCACCACATCACTGCCTAATGCATTCCACCTGTTAACTACTCTGACACTGAAGAAGTTCTTCCTAACGTCCCTGTGGCTCATGTGGGTACTCAGTCTCCACCTGTGCCCCCTTGTGCAAGCCCAACCACTTAGGCTGGACGGTAGAGCGACGGTCTCTCTTCATGCAGGTCGGCGTTCAATCCCCGACCGTCCAAGGGACTGGGCACCATTCCTTTCCCCCGTCCCATCCCAAATCCTTATCCTGATCCCTTCCAAGTACTATACCTGGTTGATACCTGATTGATGGGGTTCTGGGAGTTCTTATACTCCCCAAGCCCGGCCCAGTAGTTGTGATGTTAGCAGCCTCGCATACGCCGCTGATGATATTCTTGTGATGTGGGCTTCAGGAGACAGGTTCGGCGTGATCTTAAGCCACAAGGTTTCTTCTGTACCTGATTTCGGACAAATTTCATGTCCCACTTAGTACCTTGTGTTTGGCCTCCTGCTCCCTCCACCTACCTTCATTACTTTACACTTGCTCGAGTTAAATTCTGGTAACCATTTGTTGGACCACTTTAACCAATATATTTACTATGTCGTTTTAATAGTGTGTCTCTGCTCCTTTCCTCACACTGAGGTACTTGTCTCTCTGCCTCTCCTGTGCTCTCTGGTGTTGTGTAGTTACTCCAGGTCCTGGTACCGAGTTGCTGTGCTTGTGTATGTCTCTGATATACTGGGGGGGGCGGGGAGGACAACATAAGAGGGAGTGAGGGAGGATCGGGAGAGAGAGAGGGAGAAAAGAGAGGAAGAGGCGTAGGTGAGGAAACAGGTGGAGGGAGTGAGGGGAAGAGGTAAGGGGTTGTGGGAACTACAGGAGGAGGGGGGAGAGGGTCTCTTATCTTGATTCCATGTCTAAGGCAGGATGGAGGGAGTGAGGAAGGTAGGTAGGGAGGCAGTGAGGAAGGAAGGCAAGGAGGGAGAGAGGGAGGGAGGGAGAGAGGGAGGGAGGGAGAGAGGGAGGGAGGGAGAGCTGGCATGCCTATCAATCAGAGCAGGGAGGTCCTGAGTCAGCGCCACCACTGGTAATGGCCAGAATTAAGTCGTGAGAGCCAAGGAGGACTTGTATTGGATTATAAAACTCTGTTATTATCTTGTCAAGCGCTCGCCTTGTAGACTTCTGACTCCTGGTCTCCGCCGCACTCTTTTAAGGAGGATTTTGAGGACGTCACCGGAATGTTTAGGCGCGTAGCTGTGTCTGTGTACCCGAGTGTAGCTGTGTCTGTGTACCCGAGTGTAGCTGTGTCTGTGTATCCGAGTGTAGCTGTGTCTGTGTATCCGAGTGTAGCTGTGTCTGTGTACCCGAGTGTAGCTGTGTCTGTGTACCCGAGTGTAGCTGTGTCTGTGTACCCGAGTGTAGCTGTGTCTGTGTACCCGAGTGTAGCTGTGTCTGTGTATCCGAGTGTAGCTGTGTCTGTGTATCCGAGTGTAGCTGTGTCTGTGTACCCCGGGAGTGTAGCTGTGTCTGTGTACCCCGGGAGTGTAGCTGTGTCTGTGTACCCCGGGAGTGTAGCTGTGTCTGTGTACCCCGGGAGTGTAGCTGTGTCTGTGTACCCCGGGAGTGTAGCTGTGTCTGTGTATCCGAGTGTAGCTGTGTCTGTGTACCCCGGGAGTGTAGCTGTGTCTGTGTACCCCGGGAGTGTAGCTGTGTCTGTGTACCCCGGGAGTGTAGCTGTGTCTGTGTACCCCGGGAGTGTAGCTGTGTCTGTGTACCCCGGGAGTGTAGCTGTGTCTGTGTACCCGGGAGTGTAGCTGTGTCTGTGTACCCCGGGAGTGTAGCTGTGTCTGTGTACCCCGGGAGTGTAGCTGTGTCTGTGTACCCCGGGAGTGTAGCTGTGTCTGTGTACCCCGGGAGTGTAGCTCTCGAGGTGTAGCTCCCGAGGTGTAGCTCCCGAGGTGTAGCTCCCGAGGTGTAGCTCCCGAGGTGTAGCTCCCGAGGTGTAGCTCCCGAGGTGTGGCTGCCAAGGTGTGGCTCTTCAGGTGTGGCTCTCAAGGTGTGGCTCTCCAGGTGTGGCTCTCCAGGTGTGGGTGCCGAGGGGTGTACACAGTGTCAAGAAGCACCCAGAAGGGAAGTCCTCATAGTACAACATTATCTGTAAAGGAGGGAGAAAGGAGGGGCTCGTCCCCCCCCCCTCTCAGGTCCCAGCTGGAGCTCACGCTTGAGCTTGAGCTCTATTGATACAGCTTAAGTCTTTGTCCTCTGCTGTGAGGCTCCTCCTCCAAGCTGTATTGTTCTCACTCCAGCCTTCAACAAGATCATTAATGGTGAGGAGGAGGGAGAGGAGAGACGGGGAGGGGGAGAACAGATGGGGGAGGGGGAAAGACGGAGAGGGAGTGGGGGAGGGGGAGGCAAGATGTGATCAAGAGAGAGAGAGGGGGGAGGGGGAGAGGGACTCGAGTGCAAGCACTATTGTCTCACACTCTGGAGTGCACTAATATGTGGCCACAATGCCTCTGTATCAAGAGGCATTTTGGGTAATCGATTTATTATTTTTTTATTGAGAGTTGTGAAGGCGGCGGCCGTTGAGGATATTACTGCACGAGTACTTGGATGTTTGGCGGGACGCACAAGTAGTGACAGCCATAAGCTGGGGACCAGGAGCTAGATCTCGCTACCTGTAGAGACAGGTAAGTATTTAAGCACACACACACACATGTGCGCCACTCGGACACACCTAGTGGCATACCTCTGAACTTTTTCCACCTTCGTCTTGTGCTTGACAAGGTACGGGCTCCATGCGGCCAAGGCATGGAGCCCGTACCTTGTCAAGTACAAGACGTAGCTGGAAAAAGTTCAGAGGTATGCCACTAGACTAATCCCAGAACTTAGAGGCATGAGTTACGAGGAAAGGCTGTGGGAAATGCACCTCATGACACTGGAAGAGAGAAGAATAAGGGGAGACATGATCACTACCTAAAAAATTCTCAGAGGAATTGACAGGGTAGATAAAGATAAACTGTTTAACACTGGTGGTACGCGAACAAGGGGACACAGGTGGAGACTAAGTACCCACATGAGCCACATGAGTAGTTAACAGGTGGAATGCATTAGGCAGTGATGTGGTGGAGGCTGACTCCATACACAGATTCAAATGTAGATATGATAGAGCCCAGTAGGCTCAGGAATCTCTATATCAGTGTGCCCGAAACGCTATACGTGCTACTGGCTTTACAAGATTGTAATTTCAACTTAAACTCTATGTTCTCTCTTAACCCTCAATGTACTTTCTTATATATATAAAAATAAATAAATAAATAAATAAATCAGTTGATTGATAGTTGAGAGGCGGGACCAAAGAGCCAGAGCTCAACCCCCGCAAACAAAACCAGGTAAGTACACACATATTAACACATAAATACACATAAGCACACAGAAGAGCTTTCATATGAACAATATATTCCTCGGAGAGAAGTGTTCCATAGTGGGGGGAGAGGGAGAGGGGAGGGGAGAGGTGAGGGGGGAGGGGAGAGGAGAGGTGAGGGGGTGTGAGGGGAGACGAGAGGAACACAAGGAGGAAGACAGACACTCACACACACGTTTGAGGCCATATTACTAGCTGATCACCTCATATGATGCTTGTTAGACGCCTCAGGCAGGGTAAGGGGGGGGGAGCCCAGCAGCAGACACATCAACAACGTCGCAGCAGCAGCACCAGCAGCAGCAGCAGCACCAGCAGCAGCAGCAGCAGCAGCACCACCACCAGCAGCAGCAGCAGCAGCAGCACCACCACCAGCAGCAGCAGCAGCAGCACCACCACCAGCAGCAGCAGCAGCAGCAGCAGCAACAGCAACAGCAGCAGACATTAATGTGTCCGACAGAGACCAACACCTCACTGGGGTTGGGTCTGAGTTTTGCTGCTTCAGATAAAGACATTAATTACGTAGACATAACCGAAGTGTTCTGTAACTTGGTAAGGAACAGCGATATCCCCGATATTACCGCCCCGTGGCACAGTGGTAACACACTCGCCACGCACCTACCCAGCGATTCGGCCAGGGTTCGTATCCTGGCCGGCGGGGATTGACTAGGCGCCAATCCTTAACTGTAGCCCCTGTTCACCCAGCAGTGAATAGGTACCTGGTTGTTAAACGATTTGGCGGGTCGTACTCCGGGGAAAATTAGGATTAAGGACCTGCCCGAGACGTCATGGGTGCTGCTGGCTGTACAAGAAAGAATTCTTAAATATAGAATTTTTTTTATTTCTAATGATATTATTATTTCCAAAGGAATGGTTTATGGTTGCATTGTAAGTAAACCCACTCACATATGTCCTAACAGATTTATTAAAGCGTTTGAGAAGTGTAAGTTCATTACACATTACCGAGGCTGACAAGTGCAATGTTCCTGTCATTTTCAACAAAATTGATTACGTTAATAAAAATGGATGTCAGGAAATATTTACCAATTAATAAAGTGTTGTGACTCGAATATCGCGCTGTTCAACCACGGTATATCTGGTGATAGTGTTATATCTCCAGTGTTATATAGTCAGTGTTATACGTGGCAAGCACTACTGCCTTCCTATAATTGTGTACAAGCCCAGAACCAACGTCCAGGATGCACAAAACAGGAATTTATCAGGAGCAGCCATAGTTGACTAAGTAATGTGGGGCCCCCACACCACGGTAGATGTGGTGGGGGCCCCCCCACACCACACATGTGCTGTGAGGGCCCCACACCACACATGTGTGGTGTGGGGGGCCCCACACTACAGAGAGAGGAGAAAGTTCTGGTATTAATTACATGTGCAAGAGCTGCCCCCTGATTCAGCTGTTCTCAAATGGTGGGAATACTCAACAGCCTCGTTAATGACAGCAGTATGGCACCACTTGGATTGGAAAATCATTAGAATGAAAGTTTGTATACGTGATGAGTGTGGAGATGCCTCAAGGGGGGGGGGGCAGGACCCGAACACAACCTCCGACGGAACCGCTACATCTTTCCTCGATAATGGTGGCTTTGTTTACATATAACAGTTTATGCGCTTGGAAGCAATAGGTGTTTATAGCAGTCAATAGCTTGGTCGAGGACGGCCTCGGGTCGAGGACGACCTCGGGTCGAGGACAGCCTCGGGTCGAGGACGCCCTCGGGTCGAGGACGACCTCGGGTCGAGAACGGCCTCGGGTCGAGGACGACCTCGGGTCGAGAACGGCCTCGGGTCGAGGACGACTTCGGGACGAGGACGACCTCGGGACGAGGACGACCTCGGGACGAGGACGACCTCGGGTCGAGGACGACCTCGCAGCGTTTCTCAGCTTGTAAACTGTTTACTATATGAAAACAAAAGCCGTCATTGTTGTTGACAGATGCAGCGGCTTCGTAAGAGATTGTGTGAGTGTTTGGTGACTGGTGGTGGGAGGTGCATGGAGCCTCACACCTCACAATGTATCCCGCCTCACACCTCGCAATGTATCCCGCCTCACACCTCACAATGTATCCCGCCTCACACCTCACAATGTGCCCCGCCTCACACCTCACAATGTATCCCGCCTCACACCTCACAATGTATCCCGCCTCACACCTCACAATGTATCCCACCTCACAATGTATCCCGCCTCACACCTCACAATGTATCCCGCCTCACACCTCACAATGTGCCCCGCCTCACACCTCACAATGTATCCCGCCTCACACCTCACAATATTCCCCGCCTCACAGGTCACGTGAGGTCAGGTCACCAGCGATGCAACAGCCGGGACTGATCTCCGCGTCTCTGTTGACACGACACCCAAAGTTGCATAACTTGTGGCACAGATCCCCGGCAAAACTAAACTGTAGCTTAACATTCATTGGTTTAGGGATCACATTTCCACTCCAATTCTCCTGTCTATGGCATTAGATTATATGGAATGTTTACATTTTGATTTAAGAGTCAAATGGATCACTGTGTCATTCATTAATTCCTTCCCCTTGTTTAAATTTTGCCCCGAGGGGCGAGTTTATTGGGCAGCGTCACTCATCCTGTGAGTGGACACACCGCCATAGTGACAGTATTGGGCAGCGTCAGTCATCCTGTGAGTGGACACACCGCCATAGTGACAGTATTGGGCAGCGCCACTCATCCTGTGAGTGGACTCACCGCCATAGTGACAGTATTGGGCAGCGACACTCATCCTGTGAGTGGACACACCGCCATAGTGACAGTATTGGGCAGCGCCACTCATCCTGTGAGTGGACACACCGCCATAGTGACAGTATTGGGCAGCGCCACTCATCCTGTGAGTGGACACACCGCCATAGCAGCATGTACAACACTCCACAATAGGAAGAAAACCCGCTGGGTTGTTCATCCTGTCACTTGTACCCAGACACAGCTGGAACTTGCTGAACTGTCTCAAGTGAACAGCTCCTCAAACAAGAAGATTAACATTTGTCAACCCTTAAAATCTTACGTTATCTTGCGGGTGCAAAATGGGGGAATCTTTTGAATCTTTCCCCTTGTTGTGTGCAGATTTTTACCCCCCATTATGGGTTTTGGTTCCTGCCCCCCATTATGTGTAGTTACCACAGATTTAGCTACTCAGAACGAAGTGTCCATGTAGCACGGGCTATGGTGAGCCCGTAATTTTTACCCCCTCCCTATTACACCTCTTTTATACCTCTTTGTCGAGATCAATCGCCCCCGCCCCCCCCCTCCCCTCCCTGCTCCCCTCCCATATTTCCGTCAAGGTCATTTAAATATTCATACAGCACTAACAACAACTTTAGAGGTGATTTCCGGCGTGTTGGTTGCCCCCCCCCCCCTCCCCCA